TTATTTGAAGATAGAGTCTTATTCCATTGCCCAGGCTGGAGTGCCATGGCATTAGGCTAGCTCATAGCAACCTCAAACTCCTGTGTTCAAGAGATCCTCCAACCTCAAGTCTCCAGAGTAGCTGGGACTATAAGAGCCTGCCCTGATGCCCAGCTAATTTTTAAGAGTCAGGATGTTGCTTTTGCTCAGGCTGGTCTGGAATTCCTGAGCATAAGGGATCCTCCCACCTCAGCCTCACAGAGCACTCCATAGGCTGCAGTTGGTTATGACCATGCTAATGCACTTTAGCCTGTGCAATATAGAAACCTTGCCTTATTTCTATATTTTTTTATTCCAACATTGTATGGTTAGGAAAACTGATTCATAGAGAAAGATTTTTTTTTGACAAGGATAGCCCCCATATACTTTTTCAGATATTTGTACTCGTAAATATTTGGGTTTAGCAAACTGTATTTCCAATGTTAGATCTATCAATTTTATGGATAGCCCCCATATACTTTTTCAGATATTTGTACTCGTAAATATTTGGGTTTAGCAAACTGTATTTCCAATGTTAGATCTATCAATTTTATGAAAACTTTAGCAAAGACAAAGGTAATGGAACTGGGCATGCCTATCATTCTAGCACGTTGGGAGGCTGAGGTAGGAGGATAATGGGGCAACATAGTGAGGCCCAATCTCTATAATAATAATAATAACAATAATTGATCATCTGGGTGTGATTGTGTACACCTGTAGTCGCAGCTACTCAGGAGGCTGAGGCAGGAGGATCATTTGAGCCTAGGAGTTTGCAGTTGGTTATGATTGTGCTCTTGCACTTCAGCCTGTGCAACAGATGAAGACCTTCTCTCTAAAAGAAAAAAAAAGGCAGTGGTGGGTATATTTTAAATATAGTACATAAACACAATGGATACAAATTATGCTTCTTTCAAAATGAAAGAAGTCTTATTTATGAACTTCAGAGTCAAGTTGATAGGCAATGTCATTTTTATAAGGTTGTTTGAGAATGAAAAAATGTATTGTGTTCCCGGTGCCACTGAAGATATTTCTGAGTTTTCAACTGGTTTTTCGTAAACACCTTTGGTTTGAACCTCATTAGTGCAAAAGAGGTTTGAGAATGATAGTAGGTACTAAAGACAGGAATTCTAGTTTTTATTTTTTTATCTTACAATAAAATTAATATATGCTTAATATTTTTAAAAATTTGGACAATATGGAAAGATAGAAGAGACTGAAAATTTTACTTCTGGTGTATATCTTTCCAGTCTTTGTTATTTAATCTGTGTGTGTATGTGTGTATGAACGTATTTAAATAGTATGATACAAATTTTTTTTAAGTAAACTTTGGTTTTGACTTAGCAGGGTATCTCTTATATAGGATAGTAAACATTTTGTTTCAGAAACTTCACTAGGCTCGGCTCCTATGGCTCAAGTGCCTAAAGTGCCAGCCACATACCCCTGAGAGGGTTCGAATCCAGTCTGGACCCACAAAACAACAATGACGGCTGCCACCAAAAAAAAAAGTAGCCGGGCATAGTGGCAGGAACCTGTAGTCCCAGCTACTTGGGAGGTAGAGGCAGGAGAATCGCTTGTGCCTGGGAGTTGGAGGTTGCCATGAGCTGTGATGCCATGGCACTCTACCCAGGGCAACAGCTTGAGGCTGTCTCAAAAAAAAAAAAAAAAAAAAAAGCAAAAAACCAAAAAACTTCACTAATACATACTATTTGTTGATCATGTTTTTATTCAGATTCTTTATATACTGATTGCATTTTTTTGCTTATGAAGTGAGATTGCTGGGTATGGGGAAAGTACATTTAAAAAAAATTGATTCACAGCTGCCTAGTATCCTCTAGAAAAATTCCACATTCTTATTTCTAATACAAGTAGGTAAGAAGTCTTCATGGCATGGGATTACATGTGATTTAAAATGTGGATAATTTATTATTCCTTTGTAATACCCTAGGATCAGTCTTCAAAATAGGTAAGGGAAGTGCATTAATTTTTATTTAATTTCAGAATGATGTTCTGCCCCTCTCAAACTCAGTGCCTGAAGATGTGGGAAAAGCTGACCAATTAAAAGATGAAGGTGAATATTTCACACAAAAATGACTTTATTTAGTAAAGCTTTCTGAAACTCTGGAGAAAGTAACTGTCAATCAATATGATTCTGGTTTGCACTGCCAAGACTGAATTGTAGTGAATCCAGTGGCATTTATGAAACAGTATGAATGTGACGAGTGAAAAGCCTGGAAATACTTGTGGGCAGTATGGGTATGACTTCAAGAGAAGCCGATCTCTTGTGAGTAATACTCACAGAACAAATAATTTCATGGCTAATCACTTGTAACTGTATTTGCTAACTGTACTATAGGATCCCAAATTTTTCTTTATGCTTAATCAAAGAGAGGAAAAGAATTTTCAGTATTATTTTAACTTTCATATATTTAGTGGTTGCAGTTCTTTGAAATTTGTTGATGTGTGCATATGGTACTTGTTTATTAGCTATCACATTTGCTTGCTGCATTACTACGTTTTAGACTAGCTGGTTCTTGAAGCATTTTGGTGTTAATAAGGAAGTCACTGTTGAGGATCTGTGTTCCATTTTTCTATCATGTCAACTGCCTTAAGCTATCGAGGACAGCCGGGTCAGACCTATAAGATTTGTACTGCAAAGCTGTTGGGTACAGCCCTTATCTTTAGTAGTGACTGACAGCCAGTAAATTCTCTGTCCTATGATTATGCAGAAAGTCACTGGGGAGAATGGTGTGTTCAAAAGCTATAGGTAGAACTATTTTCTGGCTTTTCTTTAGTTCATACCCTGAAGAAGGCAATTGTGTATGCATTTTTTTTTAATTACTTGGTATTTTAAAAGGTAGATGTGGAAAAGAGAATGCTTTTCCTATTCTGTGGGTCTGGTCATCTCTCTAGATCTATAAATACACACCTACGTCCCTGTTTGTAATGGCTGCATAGTGTTACATGGTACTGTTAGGCCATGACTTACTTACCTAGACAGATAATTTTGTAATCCTAAGTAACACTGACTTCATTATATTTCTTTTCACTGTTGTGTGATAATCTTCTTACCTTATAAAGTGCTGTGTTTCTAATAAATAGACTGGTCTCAGTTTTCAATATTTTTAGATCCTCTAAGAAATGATACCAATTACATGTAAAATAAAGCAGCAGCCAGATTTGAGTTACAAGATCCCTCAAAGAATTTAAATTTAAAACCATCCAGATACAAATGCATTTTTCATATATTAATTTCTAACTGGAACAATTTTATCTGATTTTTTTCCCTGCCTGGATTTTTGTGGAGGGTGAAATCTTCAGTGATGCAGTGTATGCTCTGCTAACGTTTTACTTCGGGAGCTTTTTTGGTTTAGCTCTAGTAATAATGTTGAGTAATTGGCAAATTGACATTATTTTTGTCCCTCATGTTTACTCCTCTGTGAGAGGGAACACTGGGAGATTGCATTATCTGTAGAGTTTGTTGTTACATAATAAATGTGAGAAAAACCAGGAGTAGGGTTTCTTAAAAGGCCAGGCTCACTGCAGCAGCACTGGTAGGCCGAATCGCTTACTTCTTTTATCCTTATCTAGAAACTTTGTATTCCTTATTTTCACTAGAACCTGTCACATATATGACATGTTACATATAAAATTAAAGTGATTGTCTTTTATCCAGATTTTGCTATTTGCGTGAAGACAAATAGCCACTACAGTGTGTGAAACATAGAGTTTTTTCCAGGCTACATGTTCCGTTTATTTGATGCATTCATCTGATGGTGTTAATCAAGGCTGAAAGAATAGTGCTTTCAAATATCTTGTGCACTTTGCTTCTGAAGAGCTGCAGTAAGCATAGAATAAATCAAGCAGTTACTGGCTTTCACTCCCCAACAGGCCATAGAACTATAGGTGGATCTCATAGAGTTGTGAGAAATGAGGGAAATCATTTTTAGGAGACTACCACAGAGCTATAAAATGTGATACTCACGCTTCATTGTTACATTTATCTCCTTTTCTCACAGATTTTTGTCTCCTGAATTTTGTGTATATTATTTTGTGACTTGAAACTTTTTATCACTAACTTAAATTATAGCTAACATATTTAATTGTGGTATATACACACACACACACTGTTGTATTGTCATATTTGTTTATAGGACGAGACATACAATAAAGTTTTAATAATAATAACCATAAAGGGGTCATGCCTGTAATCCCAGTGCTAGGAGGTCAAGGTGGGAGGATCACTTGAGGCTAAGAGTTTAAGATCAGCCTGGGCAACATAGTAAGACCTTGGCTATAGAAGAAAAAAAATTAATTGGCTATGGTGGCACACTCCTGTAGTCCTGGCTATTTGGGAGGCTGAGGCAGGAGGATCACTTGAGGTCAGGAGTTTGAGGCTGCAGTGAGCTATGATTGCCCCACTGTACTATAGCCTTGGTGACAGAGCAAGACCCTGTCTCTGAAAAAATATGTAAATAAAATAATAATAATAATAAAATCATACCCAACCAATAAATCCCAATAGGAACCACAAAATCTCAATATCCTGGATGGTTACAATGTTTGACATGGAAATCTATTTAAGTACCTGGGCTAATGTAGTTAACTTTTTGCTTAATCATAAAAAACTATGTTATTATGTCAGTTTCCTTAGAGGCTTTAGATTTCTTTTTTGGTGGGAAGGAAATCTAAATCAATTTTTTTTTACTCTTAAAAAACTGATTTATTAAGATATAATTCCTATACCATACAATTTACTCCTTTAAAATGTGCAATTCATTGGTTTCCATTATATTCATGGAGTTATACAGCATCACTATAATCAATTATGGAACATTTTAAGCCCCCAAAAGAAACTGTTGGCAGTCACTGTTTATGTACATTTTTTTATTCCCAATTTGCAGTAGTGTCTATATTATTTTAGATGCTTTTATCTGTCTGACTTTCTTTTAATCTTGTTTTTGTTTCCTGCAAATGTACACTCTTTTCCTCCCATTAAGTAGTTAATGATCTATTGAGAACAAGGTTAATAAAAGAGTTTATAGGAGAGCTTCTGATTTCCAGAAAGTTGGAAGGAATTATAGAGGTCTTTGTCATGTGAGTCCTTCCATCTAAACTTAATTGTACTAATATTTTCAATTTTGAATATTGGTTCTTGTAAGTGCACAGGACACTTTTCTTTTTCTTTTAATGGAATCCAAAAGATAGTCACTGGAAATCCCTTATTTTGCTGACTCTTGTTAACGTGGCTAAATCATTGCCAGATGTATCTGCAGATACCCTTCCTGAAAATTAGTACTTTGTAGGCTGGCCATGGTATCTGAAATTCTATCTTTCTAGAAATTAATCTTCCCCAAATCCCCTTTTAAAAAGAATCTATCTCTGGAAGGGATAATGCATAAAAGTATTATCTGCCAATAATATGTTATCATGATTAGTTTTACCAGCTTACCCACAGCAGAGTTCCAAGAGCTTGGTATTCAGCAGATGTGTGTTTTGACAGGGAAGGAGTGGAAGACCAGGTCCAGATTGAGATGGTGAGTAGGGAGGGTGTTGCATCTGGAACAGGCGGGGCAGCTCTAAAAGGGAGGAGAGAGATGAAGATGAGGAAGGTGAGAAGAGATTCACTTTTGCCATGAGGTAGTCATAATTGTTGCATTTACTCACTTAAGCCTGGCTTTTTAAAGATATACAGACAATAGTTTTATAAGATTTTGCATTGTTAAAATGATTCAAACATACTGTGAGCTAAAGAATATCAATTGTATAGTATAATATAAAATTTATCACCAGTGTGACTGAAAAGTCATGAAGCTAACCTTCATATGATTGTATTTCTATTATTAAAATTTATCTGTTACACTTTATATTTTTTCTGTATATCATACTTATTGTCCACATTGGTTACTTTATTTTAGGCAATAACCACATGAAAGAAGAAAATTATGGTGCTGCAGTGGATTGTTACACACAGGCAATAGAGTTGGATCCCAATAATGCGGTTTACTTTTGCAACAGGTAAAGTAGCACTGTTGGGACAGGTTTACAGTTTTTTTTTTTTTTTTTTCTGACACAGAGTCTTACTATGTCGCCCTTGGTAGAGCACTATGATGTCACAGCTCACAGCAACCTCTAATTCTTGGGCTTACGTGATTCTCTTGCCTCAGCCGCCTGAGTAGCTGGGTCTAAAGGCACCTGTCACAACTCCTGGCTTTTTTTTTTGTTGCAGTTGTCATTGTTGTTTAGCTGGCCTGGGCTGGGTTCGAACCCTCCAGCTTGCGTATATGTGGCCGGTGCCCTAACCACTGAGCTACGGGCACCACCAGGTTTACAGTTCTTAAGCATTTGGGTTAGGGGCTCTCAATGATTTACTTACCTTTTGATGTACTGGTGCACATTAAAGTTATTTCCATTTTTTTTTCAGTATTATAAAGCTTCAATGAACATCTGTGTTTCTAAAAATTATTTTCATGTTTCACATTTTCTGGACTTTGGCTTTATCCCTGGAAATGCACTAAAAGTATAAACATTTAAAATACTATTGATGAGGGTGACTGGAAAGATCACCTATATGGTCTGTCTAACAAGGGTACAAGTGAACTTTTCTAGAACTAGAGTATAAATGTTTTAACACAATAACTAAGTAAATGTCACAAAGTCTATGTTAACCAGTTTGATGAAAATATTTCAAATTGGATATGAAAACACTGCACTGTACCCCATGTTTGCATTAATGTATACAGCTATCATTTAATAAAAAAAATAAAAAAAAATACTATTGATGTAAATTGCAAAATTGTTCTAACTTTTTTGAAAATACTGTGAAAATTAATTCCCCCCACAAGAGGGCATCTGTTGGCTCAGCGCCTGTGGCTCAAGTGGCTAAGGCACCAGCCACATACACCTAAGGTGGCAGGTTCGAATCCCCAGCCTGGGCCTGCCAAACAACAATGATGGCTGCAACCAAAAAATGGCCGGGCGTTGTAGCGGGCGCCTGTAGTCCCAGCTACTTGGGAGGCGGAGGCAAGAGACTCGCTTGAGCCCAGGAGTTGGAGGTTGCTGTGAGCTGTGATGCCATGGCACTCTACCCAGGGGGATAGCTTGAGGCTCTGTCTCAAAAAAAAAAAAAAAAGAAAGAAAGAAAGAGGGCATCTGTTTTGGCCAAAGTCTTTATCAGCACTAAGTACTGAAACTATTTATTATTGTTCATTTAATATTATTTTTCTATTAATTGCTCCAATTTAATTCACTGGTGAGGTTGGACATTTTTCAAGTGTTAACCTTTTGTGGGTTTTTTACTCCTAAATTTTCAATGTGTACCTTACTATATAGGCTGAACGGTTATGTCCCCCTTAAATTCTGAGGTGAATTTCTATTTATTTATTTTTTATTTTTTTGAGACAGAGTCTCAAGCCGTCACCTTGGATAGAGTGCTGTGCCATCATTGCTCACAGCAACCATGGGGTTAAGCCATCCTCTTGCCTCAGTTTTTCTGTTTTTAGTAGTAGCTCAGGCTGGTCTTGAACTTGTGCAATCCACCCACCTCAGCCTCCCAAAGTGCTAAGATTACAGAAAGGCATGAACCACCGCACCCAGCCTTGAGATGAATTTTAAATGTAATCCCCAGTGTGATGTTCTTTGGAGGAGGGATCTTTGGGAGGTGATCAGATCACAAGGACAGAGCACTCATAAACGGGATTAGGGCCCTTGTAAAACACTCTCCTGAGCGCTTCCTTGGTCCTGCCACATGAGGACTCAGCCAGAAGGGTACCTGCACCCGACCTTAGCATGTTCGATCTCAGACTTCTCTTTCTTTCTTGGCGCTGCCCTTTTTAGTAGGGATGTGACCCCTCTAGGCTGCATTTGCCAGATTCCTTTGTCCCCTTTCTTTTGTCTGGGTTCAGCCATGAAGGTACTGGCAGGAGATTAGAAGGTAAAAGGAATAGAGCAATCTGAATATTTTTTCTTCCCCCATTTTCTTCTTTTTTATATCACATGGTATATTCAGCAGGTGCTGCTTCTCATCCTTTTCTTCCCACTCCTACTCTATACACCTACTGTGGTTTCAGCTTTTGCCACACAACCTTTGGGTTTTAGCCTCTGTACTTTGTCCTTTTGTCAAAGGATTGGTATTAGCTTCTTGTGACTCTCTTGATTCTTTTGAGACAGAGTCTCACTTTGTTGCTGTTGGTAGAGTGCTGTGGCATCACAGCTCACAGCAACCTCAAACTCTTGGGCTCAAGTGATTCTCTTGCCTCAGACTCCTAGCAGCTGGGACTACAGGTGCCCACCACAGCACCTGGATATTTCTAGAGGTGGGGTCTCGCTCTGGCTCAGGCTGGTCTCTAACCTGTGAACTCAGGCAGTCTACCCGCCTCGTCCTCCCAGAGTACTGGGATTATAGGCATGAGCCCCCGCGCTTGGCCCCTCTCTGGATTCTTGTACAACTTCCTGTTTGACTTTTCAGCAGTTTTATCACCTTATGTAATACAGTCCCTGAACTAAATTATTCTATTTTATACATTCAAGTTTCAGTAGAACTTCTACAATGATAGAAATGTTCTATTAATACAACTGTACTAACACAGGAGCTACTAGCCACACTGGGTATTCAGCGCTTGAAATGTGGCTAGTGGAATTGAGGAACTAAATTTTTAATGTTTAAATGCCTGTAGTCCCAGCTATTTGGGAGGCTGAGGCAGAATATTGCTTAAGTCCAAGAGTTAGAGGTTGCTGTGAGCTGTGACTCCACGGCACTCTACCCAGGACGACAGCTTGAGTCTCCAAAAAAAAAAATCAATGTAAATAGCCACATTTGGCTTAATGGCTACTGTGATATATTGGACAGCATAACCCTAGATGAATGATATAACCCTTTATCCTGTTTGTACAGCTTACTTGCCTTTTAATGTTTTTCAGATGTTAAAGTTTTAAATATTTATGTAGTCAAATTTATTCTTTTTTTTTTAAGACAGAGTCTCACTATGTCATCCTTGGTAGATTACCTTCTGGAGGTAATAGTAATAATTACCTCATAGGGTTATTATGGAGAGCAAATAGTTATTAAATGTAAAGTCCTACAAAAGTGTCTAGTAAAGAGTGTTATACACAAGTAATCGTTATTATCATTATTCTTTATGTAGCCAGTTTTTTGCTTTGATCAGAATAAGAAGAGAGATACATATTCATCAAGGTCCAAATATATTGCAAATTTTTTTCCTCTGATTTACTAGTCTAGTAGTAACCTTGTTAAAAAGGGAATAATGTTAGCCAAGCCTGATGCTACCACTTTGGGAGACTGAAGCAGCTGGATCACTTGAACTCAGGAGTTCAAGACCAGCCTGAGCAAGAGCAAGACCCTATCTGTACTTAAAATAGAAAAATGGAGGCAAGAGGATCTCTTGAGCCCAAGAACTCAAAGTTGCTGTGAACTATAATGCTAAGGCATTCGAGTCAGGGCATCAGAGTGAGACTCTCTCTCAAAAAAAAAAAAAAAAAAAGGAAAATAATGTTAATCTGATAGAACTTTTCTTCTTCAGTGTCATTTCTTTTGTCTCCAGCTTTTTATTCTGAAAATTTTCAAAGCTGAAAAATTTTACAGTGAATACTCACCTAGATTTTGCCTTTACTATTTTAGTATATTTGTTATACCACAATTTTTATCTTTTCATTTCCCTTTCCTTTCCTTTCCCTTTTCCCTTTCTTTTTCTTTCTTTTATTTTAATTTATTTCCTCTTCTCTTCATCCTTTTCCTTTCTTTCTTTCTTTTTTTTTTTTTTTTGTTGTTTTTTCTTGAGAAAGAGTCTTCTATTGCCTAGGGTAGAGTGCAATGGCCTCATCATAGCTCACTGCAACCTCAAACTACGAGACTCAAGTGATCCTCCTGCCTCAGCCTCCTGAGTAGCTGGAACTATAGGTACTACCAAGCCTGGCTAATTTCTATCATGTAGAGAAGGCAGTCTAGCTCTTGCTCAGGCTGGTCTCCTGAACTACTAAGCTCAAGCAGTCCTCCTGCCTTAGCCTCAAAAAGGGCTACGATTACAGATTTGAGCCACCTTGCCCAGACTATATCACATTTTTATCTACCTATCTGTGCCTGTATCCGTTCATTCTTCCATCTTATTATTGATGATTTTTAAAGCAAATAGCAGGCTTGGTGCCTGTAGCTCAGCAGCTAGGGAGCCAGCTATATACACCGGGGCTGGTGGGTTCGAACTGGGCCCGGGCCTGCCAAACAACAATGACAACTACAACAAAAAAATAGCTGAGCATTTTGGGGGTGCGTATAGTCCCAGCTACTTGGGAGGCTGAGGTAAGAGAATAGCTTAAGCCCAAGAGTTTGAGGTTGCTGTGAGCCATGATGCCACAGTACTCTACCAAGGGTGACATAGTGAGACTCTGTCTCAAAAAAAAAGAAAAAATAAATAAAATGAATAAAGCGAATTGCATCCATTAGTATACTTTCCCCCTTCATACATAGCATCCGTGTCATTAACTCCAGTTCAGCATTTATGTTTTTTTCTTTTGAGGTAAAATTTGTATATAAGAAAATGCACAAATCTTAGCTGTACTTTCACTGAGTTTTGACCAATATATACACCCCTGTAACCTAAATCCTTATTCAAAGAATTGAAAATTATGTCCAGGAAGTTCCTTTTGTCCCTTCATAGTCAGTTGCCTATGACATATATACCAGAGGCAACCACTGTTTTGTTTTTTTCTTTTTTTTTTTTTTTTGAGACAGGAGCCTCAAGCTGTCCCCCTGGGTAGAGTGCTGTGGCATCTCAGCTCACAGCAACCTCCAACTCCTGGGCTCAAGCAAGTCTCCTGCTTCAGGCTCCCGAGTAGCTGGGACCACAGGCGCCCGCCACAACGCCCGGCTATTTTTTGGTTGCAGCCGTCATTGTTGTTTGGCGAGCCCGGGCTGGATTCGAACCCGCCACCTTGGGTGTACATGGCTGGCGCCTTAGCCACTTGAGCCACAGGCGCCAAGCCTGTTTTGTTTTTTTTCCACCACA